CACGCACGAGCCTGAGACGTCTGGACACGACAAAAGTTTAAAGGCGGACCCACCTCCTGGTGGAGCGGCGCGGGCGCGGGTGCAGGAACGAGTGCTGAATGGCGTGGAAGACGCCAACAGCTCGCAGGGGTCGCGGGAGGCCAGACGGTCTGCATAGAGAGACGAACGACTGAAAAGGAAGAGGGACACGGATGTACAGTGAGCAAAGTGAGCAAGAACAGAGGGCGAGAAGGATAAACGACGAGGCATCCCACCCAATCACCCACCCAAATGACAAACAAAGAAACAACACGGATGCAAAGCAGTGAAGGCGAATGTGGGAGTCTATTTTGCTTCCCACTACGCTCTTGCACTTCTCGTAGAAGTCTGAGAGAAGGGCAGCGGGGCGCTGGTCTTCGCTTCTTTGCATTAATACGTCTATTTGCGTTACGTTACCGGTTTTGCCCCGTGTGTACAGGGCACATTGTGTACTACACAGACACACATGCACACGTGGACGGTTGCTACTTCCGGTTGTTGTTCTTTTTCCTTTTTTTTTGCCTTTGCGCATGCTTTTTTTTGTGGCGGATGCGTCTGGACGGCATCTGTGATTGTGGTTCTGTTTTTCGTTTTGTTTCTCCCTCGCTCCGGGGAGGAGAAGGCGGGAGTGCGTGCGTGTGTGTACGTCTGTGCGTCTGTGCGTGCCTTGGGGCCGGGGGGATTCTGCGGGCGTGCGCCTCCTTCCGAGCTGCATGCAGATTAGAGAGGAGTCCATGCGAGATGTATTTGTGTGTTTCTAGACTCCCCGGCGCGCTCGGTTGCCGCGTATGTGCGTTGGCCATCCTCCCCCCTCGTTTCGTCCTTCGGCCCGCCCCACCCCGCCCCCGCCCATGTCCTTTCCGCGTGTCGAGTCTCTCGCGTCCTTCGTCTCTCTTGCTGGGGGCGATTTGCTCGTGAGCGCTGCGGTCGCTCGTTATTCCCCGTGGTTTTCTTTGCTTGGGCCGCAACACCCCTCTGCCCCTCTCTCCCCCCACCGCAGGCACCGCAGGGCGACGCGCCTCTTTTGCCTCACGCTCCCTCTGCGCCTTCGCCGTGGCGTGACGCATGCCGCCGATAGAAGTGCCATCGTCTGCGACGACGAACGAGTCACCGAAGTGGGCCTCGTCGCTGCTGCGGCAGCGCCTGGCGACTCGCGGCGAGTTCCGCAACGAGGCATCTCAGTGTGCCGCGGCCATCCTCCGCTCGGAGGCGGCCCGCGCGGATGGCCAACTCTGCGACGACGTTGGCGCCGTGCTCGCCGGCAACGCCGTTTACATCCGCCGTTTTGTCTGCGACGAGGAGGACACGCAGATGTACGATAGGCTCAAGGCGGAGCTGGTCGCCGCGACGGGGGCGAGCATGTCGTCCGACGGCGGCCGCATTGACTGGAGCCGGCACGAGATATTTGAGAACCCGACGGGGATCAGTGCGACGTTCAACGACGTCGTAGCCATGCTGGCGGAGTACTTCGACGTGGACGTGTACGCCACGCGACTAAATTACTACCGCGACGGGCAGCAGTGGAAGCCGCAGCACCACGACAGCCACGCGTACGGCAGCCACACCACCGCCACAGGGGAGCGGCTGCGCGAGGACTTCACGGTGGGCATCACGCTTGGGGCGACCCGCAGCCTTCTCTTCGTACACGAGGCCTCTGGACGCCGCTTTGACTTCCCGCAGCGCAACGGCGACTGCTTCGCCTTCACTGGAGAGGTAAACACCACCTTTACGCACGGGGTGCCACGTGTGAACGCGCTGATTGGCGATCGCTTCAGCATCATCGCCTGGGGGCGGCGGCGCGCGATGAATGCGCGTAACGGTGGCCGGGCCGCGACGTCCTGCGACGTTCGGCTTAAAGAAGGCGGTGACGTTCGCACCGTCGATGACGCCATACTCGCCGCCCATCAGCTTGTCTCCCGCGCGTATGCGTCCGCCAAGCCAGCAGTGGCGCCGTCGCTGTTGATGCGAGCGAATGCGAGAAACGGCAACGACCACAAGGGTGGCACTAGCGACGACGGCGGCGTGCCCGCAAAGAAAAAGAAGAAGAATCGGCTTCAGTGAATAGCCGAAGGGAGGGGCGACCGGCACAAGATGGAGGGGGGGCTATGTGTGTGTGTGTGTGCAGCATAGAGTGAGCCAGTGAGGTGGGATCCAGTAACATATTTGACCCCACTACACATAGAGAGCCATGCGTACAGATTCATCGGAGGTGTGCGTGTATCTGGCTCTGTGGATTCCCACGTGTTTTCAGGTGGCCGTGGCCGTCTGTGCACTATGCTGCGCTTGACACTTCTTTCAACTTCATCTCTTCTGTGTCGGTGGTCGCCGGATAACGAAGAAAGTGAAATATACCACCAGAGCAAGCGTAAAAGAATCCATGACTGACATGCGTATGACGGAGCGTCCGGGCTTCACCGGGAAACTTAATGAGAAAATCCTGGCGCGAGTTCGTTTCCTGGCGCAGGAGCTGCAGCTGCCTGAACTCGAGGCGAAGTTTCCCCACTTGAAGGCCTCGGACGGCTCCTGGCGGCCACCGCTTCCAGGCGATGATGTGAACTTGGCCGCTTACGTGGACCACACGCAGCTTAAGCCGGAGGCCACGCAGGCGGCCATCGTGAATCTCTGCGAAGAGGCGAAGCAATACAAATTCCATGCCGTGTGCGTGAACGCTTGTCGCGTGAAGCTTTGTGTGGAGAAGCTGCGGGGCACGGGCGTCAAAACAGGCGCAACATGCGGCTTTCCGCTTGGCGCTTGCACCACGGCGACGAAAGTTGCGGAGGCGCAGATGATGGTGCAGGAGGGCGCAGAGGACATGGACATGGTGATCAACGTGGGCGCGCTGAAGGACAAGGACTATCGGTTTGTGCTGGAGGACATTAAGGCGGTCCTCGCCGTGTGCCCGCCGCATGTGACGACGAAGGTGATTTTCGAAACATGCCTGCTGACGGAGGAGGAGATCATCGACTGCGCCATCATGAGCGTCGCGGCGGGCGCGACTTTCGTGAAGACGTCCACTGGGTTTAACAGCGGCGGTGCCACGCCGGAGGCCATTGACGTCATGCTCGCCGTTGTCGGCAGGGCCGCGAGGGTGAAGGCGAGCGGCGGCGTGCGAGATTGGGTGACGGCGCTGCAGTACGTGAAGGCGGGAGTCGCCCGCCTTGGCACCAGCAACGGCGTCGCCATCGTCACGCGCAAGTGACCGCTGACCGGCGGAGTCCCCCCGCCGAGGAAACCGGGAAATAAAATTTAAAAGGAAGGGGCGCGGGATGCTTCTGGCCCTCGGCGCCTCTCTGGGCGGAGTGGTGGCGGCGGGAGACAAAAGAGGGGGAAACAAAAAGGCAAATAAATAAACGGAAGGGGGCCCGAGCAACTCGCCCTTCCCCATTCACGGGGTGGAAAGACGGAGGATAGTATGCACACAGAAAGCAAAAAAAACAAAAGAAAAAAATAAAAATAAAAGGAAAAATAATGGGTATGGGTTGGGGAGTGCTGCACACATTGACACACCAAACGAGACGCCGAGAGAGAAAGTTCATGCGTGTTATTGCCATTTTACTGTGTTTTTGTTGTTGTTGTTGTTGTTGTTGTCGCGCTCGCTCCCTCGCTCTTGGTGTGTCTGATGTATTCGTAGCAGTCATCCTCACTTCCTTCCCGCGCAGTTATCGTCCGTGTCCTCCTTTTAGGTTTGTAGACGGAGCACCGGGCTCGCACGCGCCTCGCCTCCAGGGCAGGCGGGCTGTTGGTGAATGGTGGCACGTGCATGCGGATACATAAAAAAATAATATGTTATCGGAGCGTCGTCGCAGAGAAAATACGGCACAGTCGTCGCCCTCTAAGAGGGTAACCCCGGCGCATCCTCGAACGCAACGACACGCTTCGCCTAGTGACGGCATGCGAACTCGCCGCGGCGCAAGGGACATTGAAAGCGACAATGATGACTGGAGCGGCTTCGCGAGGCCGGAGGAGGAGGAGGAGCTCCGCCCCTCCCCCATGACTCACTGGACAAAGTGGGGCCAACAGTCCTCCGCAGTTCCCATCGAGCCTCTTCGCAGCCGTTCTTATGGGGTCTCAGAGGCTTTGATACCACGCGGGAAGCTGGCGGCCACTGAGCACGAATTGGAGCGCACCAAAGAGGTGTTGCTGCAATATAAAAATTACGTGGAGCGGCGGTTGCTGCGGCACATTCAGGGAATGGAGGAGGAGTGTGCGCAGCGCGGCAAGTTATGCGAACGCCTGAAACGCGACAATGCGTTGCTCCTGGAAGAGCTTGAGCGGTACCGTGCATTGAGGGCGTCGGCGTCGGAGCGTGTTTCTTCCGATGCGTTGGGGCGTCGAGCACACTCGCCCCCGTGGGGGCAGTTGCGCCAAGCTTCTTCCGCTTCTTACCCATCACCGCCGCCGTTGCCAGAGCGCGAGGACCCAGCAAAAGGGGTGCTGCAGATGCTGCGAGCCCGTGAGTCCACACTTCTGGGTCAGCTTCAAGACGAGAGGGCGACGCGTGCGCGGCTGGAGGCGGAACACGCCGCAGCGGTGCGGCGGTTGCAGGAACGCGTGGCGGAACTGGAGGAGAAGAGGCGTATGGGTATCGATGCGGCCACCATTCAGACTCTCCGTGAGCTTCTCGCACGACGGGACGAGGAAATCCGTCAGCTACGGAAGCTGCATGGCTCCACTATAGAGAAGCCATTGGAGGAGGGCGAGCCTCAGGGCACGGAAACCAGCTTTCTAGCTGAGTTGAGGCAGACGGCGCGGGATGGCGTGGAGTTTGCTGCCGCCATGACTGCAACTGCCATCAAAACGACCGACGCTCACGCAGCCGCCGCCCATTTCGAGGAGGTGGAGCAGCTCTGGGAGGAGGTTCTCCGCGTCACCGCGTCTCTTCCAGATGCTCTCTCCAAATTACCGCGGCAGCTGTGGTTGTTGCCGGCCACCGCTAAGTCGATGCGTTGCGCCATCGTGGCGGAGCACATTCAGCTGGCTCTCTTTGTGGGGCAACTACTACATGCGATGGAAGAGCTGCGAGGCACCCTCGCGCTTGAGCGGCGGGAGCAGCAGGTGGCTGGAGATCGTCTACGCGAAGTGGAGGAGGAAAGCACTGCGTTGGTGCAGCGGCTACAACAGGAGCTCAGCGAGGCCGCACAGGGTGCCCCATTGCGGACGGCCAAAAACGAGCCCGCTGCGTTGCATAGGAGACAAAAGTCGTCGTCGCCGGCTGACGCGCAAAGGTGCGACGTTGCCACACAAACGCTGCTCTCTGCTCAGCTGTCGGGATTGCAAAACGGTGGGACGGCCAGCCTGGTTGCTCCTCCCAACGCGGCCTACACGCCCCGTTCAACCAATTTGGGGGATCTCCTGCAAGAGATGGAGGCCCTTGAGCGGGACAACGCTGCAAAATCCGCGCTCATTGCTAAGCTGCAACATCAGCGAGAGCGCTTCTTGAGCGGCGTGGACGCGGAGCTCGCGCCCAGTCTTTCAGCAAGAACGGCAATGGCGACTTCATTCACTCAGTACCTCCTTGAATGAGGCAGAACTCTTTCCTGTTCCTGCTCGAGTGTCATGAGGAGCGGAGAACAGCCCAATGGGTGAAGCTGTTCCTGCCTTCTTCTAGTTTTCTCAATTGCAGCATTACTATTCCTCTCTCCTCGCAGCCCCTTTGCCTTTCAACTGCTCGCTTGGACGTCTTCGAGCGAAAGAGGAAAACTGAAGACACCCGCGCCAAGTCTCTTTGTGGTTCTCCATCCGCACTTATTTCGCAGGCAAATCGCCGTATACATTTCTTGATGCGTTTTTCTTTCTTGAGGGGCAACCCTGTGTGCCAAAGGTCCACCTTCATGGTAGGCTTCTGTCTCCAGTTTGTATGTGTTGGCTTATTTTGTTGGTTTTCCACCTCTCTGCTTTCTGGCTCCACCGCTTTGTGTGCTCTCGTGACGCGCGCAAGAACAGTTCCGGACGGTAACAACAAGTCGCCCGTGATGCTCCGTCTGCTTTGCTGCGCCCTGCTCCTCCAGCTGTGCACCGGCGGCCTTGTCGCTGCTGTGCCGCACCGGTGCGTGTTTGATCACCTGCCACGGGTAGTTCGCGGCGTGGCCCGCGAGGTGGCGCCGGCGCAGCCTCCTGTCAGCGTCTCCGTGGGCAGTGACTGGGTGCCCATCCGCATCCGAGTCTTCGCGGACAGCCTGGAGGCGCCGGGTGGGTTCTGCTCCAGGGCCGGGGAGCGGATTGAGATGTTCCTTGGCGGCCAGATGGAATGCCAGGAAGAGGACATTCTGACGGAGGAGAAGGTGGAAATTCTCAAGAATGTGATTCTCCCCGAGGCGGCGAGGATGCAC